TTATCGAGAGTGACGTATTCGGTGCTCGTGAAATTTTGTCCGAGCTGTAAATAAAATTAACAGAAAGAAGAGCTCATTGTATCGGTCGATATATACTTGTGGTGAGAACGGCAAAAAAATTCACAGGTAATAATTGATCGACGAAACGCGGGTGGCAAAGGTTGACACGTACACTCGGAAATGGGACTGTCGAATCCGGGTAGGGAATAGGATATAATCCATCTTTCCGAATCCGAGCTGCCATTCAGCGAGCGATAAACAAAAGAGCGATCAAAGAACTGAAAATCCGCTAAAAGAATTTCATTTAACGGCTTAACTGGTTCTAACCGCGCGTCATCCGTTATAGGCGCTTTCTCTCCCTCTTACTCTTCTTTTCACAGTAAAAAATACGATATGAATATAATGCGTCGGTGCGCAAGCTTTCATTGTCCGGAAAAGCTAGAAGAGAGAAAGAGAGAGATGAGGTTTAATCGTTTCCTTTGTGCCTCGATTGATTGTTTACGTGCTAAAAGTGAAATTCTCTCGGAAGCGTTTAATTGCTACGTTATCAGTGCCTTAACAGACGCGATTTCACTTCGTAGATAAAAGTTTTTTTTTCTTTTTTTATTTAAACAGAAAAATCCCCGTTTTTTCGCTTGTAATAATCAAGTTCGCTCACGTACAACAGGTTTTATTTTACGAACAAGATTAAAAATTATATTAAACAATACGCGTGATATGACAGATCGCTCGTGTTTGCCGTTTTTCTTCGTTCAAAACAGATGTAGAAACGTTTCAAGTATTTGTTAATCAACCGTCAAGAATTGCGGATTTATATATATCATACGCGCTTTGCTTGCGCTCCTTCTCCTTGCCACGCGCGCTTTACGTTCTATCTGCATCCTGTTCTTTTAATCTCCGTCACGACGGAGAAAATCCCTTTCCGAGAACTTATTAAAATAACCTGAACAAAAGTGCGTTTCATTAGTCTTTGATAAAATCGTAATCCGCGGAACGTCATACGAGAGATTAAAACGTTGTGTTTGAGAAGCTTGAGGCGCGGAAGTGCCTTGCGAAGCGAATTGTTTGTGAATTGTCCGGGAAAAGCTAAACGTTCTCTGGTCTTTCGCTGTCGGCGAATATGAGTTCGCGGTGTGATACATAAAACAAAAATTTACCGGGAAATCGCAATCAGATACGAGAGAGAGAGAGAGAGAGAGAGAGAGAGAGAGAGAGAGAGAGAGAGAGAGAGAAAGAGATCGGAGCGCGCGATAGAATTATATATATATATACGTACCGTTTACATATATACTCACCTAATTATCATTTCCGCTGAACGTGCGCCGACGATCGGCGAAACGCGATAACACACAGAAAGGATCGTTAAAACGAGCTGCGGAGAATAGGGATATCCCATTCCGGCAAAGTAACTCGAGTCCGAAGTTTCGCGTTAGTGCATTTTGAAAGCGTAAGCTTTCTCGATTTAAGGAGCGAACGGATGTATTTTTAGGCGCACCGAGTCGAAGCGTGCGCGCGCGCGCCGAGTTCCGAGTTGATAACCGGATCGTTATCGGCAAGTTAACCGGGACGGGATTTTGCGCGTTGAATCTCTCTCACGCATTTCTCGTTGAGCGCCCGCTCACCGGCCTCTGCAGAATAACCGACAAAACTGGGCACATCATAATAGGAATCCAGGAAATTGGATTGTAATACCAACGCGTAGCGCAGAACATATTCCAACGATTGTGTGTGGCGAGATCGCGCTGCGTTCAGTTCAGTTCGTAACAACGAGGGAGGCTCATTTATTTCACCGAGAAACCGAGTCACGTACAACCCGTTCGCTTTACTATCCGTCATTCAATCCTGTGCTGTTCGTTGCAGTTTGCGCATTGTGATATTAGATATCCCTCGATAATTAGTAGCTACTCGCAGCGCCACGACTTACGTTTGTTTCATTAATGCTTGATACACGTACCGGGTCCGCAGAGATCGCCCTCTCTTTCTCTCTCTTTCTTTCTCGTTATGTCTTTCCATTTTAAATTAAATTACTTCGAAGTGATTCTTTTTCGTCTCACACACGAGCAGCGCGACGAATGAGCGCGACGCGAAATTATAATTCGCAAAGCTCTCTTGAAAATTACTATTCATGCTGCGGAGCGAATTTAAAACAATTAACTCCACCGTCGAAAATGAAAAACGATTTAATGATCAGACTCAACCGACTGCGTTTCGCAGAGAAAACTTTACATTGAATAATGAACAGTCTTTTTGCGAAGTTAATATTTCAACTTCGCGCAGAGCATTTTGCTGAGCCTCATTTGCGAAAAAAAAAAAAACAAAAAAAAAACAAAAAAAAAAACCCCCGACTGAGATCGGACATTTCGTATTTTTCCAGGCATGATTTCCACGCGCGATTGTTATTTTTTCGCGATGTTTTGTTGAGATTTTTCTTCTCTTTTTCGGGACTTATTTTCAGTGAATTTCACTCTCGCGTCTCCTCGTTGAATTCTTTCTCTCTTCATCTCTCTTCATCTCTGTTATATAAACCGAATTGTTCTTCTCATACAATTCGATTTAATGTCTATCTCCGGTATTCATTATAACGAACGCCATTACCGGCCGGCATTGAGGCAGGCTCGACTGAAGCTTTATGTTTGTGAATAGAAATCAAATCTATAAAAGCAGACTCGAAAAAAACAAAAAAAAAAAAACAAAAACCAAAAAAAAATTGTCCGACAAATTGTCTTCAATTAGAGACAGATATATGTTCGACAAATAAAACAACGTGCTTCACGCACGAATGCAGCGTTGACACAGTGCCAAATCACGTGTTAGTGCGAAAAAACAAACGGACCAGTGTAAATAATGTGAGACAACGGCTTCGTTTTCTTCGGTAAGAAAATCGGTGAAAAACACGATGCTGCGAGAGAAAGTCGAGTCCACTCCTTCCTTACGCTGTTCTTCTTGAAACCTCTAATTGCATCTCATGTATTCAAGGAAGCAAAAACACAGTACGATACTCGAGAACACTTCTCATTTCGAATACATCGAACCTGGCACCGCCGTTCCTCTTTAAAAGCGATATCTCCGCAACGCGGCAAGTTTTGCGTAAATTTTTTTCTTTCTCCATCGAACAATGATAGCGATCAAGAGATTTTCAAGATTCCGTTTTGTGTAAACGCGCCGTTCTGTTTTTCTTTCATTTGAGAGAATAAATTGCGCGTGTACAATATACACATATATGATGTATATAATATATATGTATATATATATATATATACGGTTCGTTGACATTATAAAAGAAAACGGGGGAGGCCTTTTCGTAGTTGGCGAAGCGATCAAATATCTAGAATGATGTAACGACACTCGACGTCGCTGTCGCCGCGAAGAGCACTTCGGCGCATCTCCTTCGGCCGCCGACATCCGGAAAGTTGCGTCGAAATTCAAAGTATTTCGTTAATTGCCCCACTTATCTAACGGCAGCCTTATTGCTACTCGAGGCATCCTAATTACTGTCCCGGAATATTTGAGCCCTCGCTATCAAAATCGGACAGCGGAGCGCGATTTAACGTCGAATTTTACAAAGCTAGGAATGTTTTTTCTTTTTCCCCCATGTGAAAACGAATTTTATAATTCGCAAGTTTCTCAACATCCGCGTCTTTTAATATACACGCTTTTAAGACCGTGGTCTTTGATGAATTAAGCGGACAAGAGTCCCGGCAATTTACATCGTCTGGTCGATGTTTGTCCCGTTAGTACTTTTTTTACGTAATTGTAAATTATTATTCTAATTCGCGTCTCATTAAGACTCTGGGGCGTTCAGCAGGCAGATAACGAAACGCTTTGTCGGATCAAAATGGGGAACAGAATAAAGCCGACTGGCGCGCGCGCGATTGTTCCACTTTAAGTATCGCTTCGCATTAGCTACGACGAAGAAGCGAGCAATTTAAGTTATGGCCCGACTCGCGACTGAGACTGCTCTCTTATCGCATTAACGTAGGAACTCCGTAAAATGCAGAAGAGCGGAGAGAAAGTACTCGAGCTACATATATATATATATATATATATATATATATATATATATATATGTACACATATACATATATATATGTATATATATGCACACACAATCGCGTCCAACATCACTGTGTTCATTACAAGAGGAAGGATCTCACCAAACTCACCATTTACATTATACTGTCGCATGCAGCGCTTGCCACAGATGGTCGGATACATCCTCCGGAGTCGCTACTCGAACTGACTGGCGTTTGTGCCTTAAGAGATCAAATAGCTGCTGCAATTGCGTGAAAAGCGCGCTTACATAAAACTCGACTCGGCGAATGTGTTCAGACAACCGTTTTATAATTTAATTCAGCGTTTAATGAACTTCAGTAAAATTGAGAAATAAATGGTGATAATAGCGCGGCGGAATGCAAAACGTTTTCCTGAAATATCGCTCGCGAAAAGCACGCGTATCGATTTCGTTGTGTAGCGCCCGCGTGTAACTCTCACCGGACGGAAGCTTAGATGCAATATTCTCTCTTGTTTTTGCGGAGCACCAACGTCTTACGCCAGTGCAAATAACTTGCTAATAAGAAAAGTCACTTTCCATTAACGCGATTTATGGTCACCCAGAACGCAAGCTGCCACGAAGAGTCCATTTGATTAAAGATTTAATTGAAATATCGCTTTTTTTTTAAAACCAGAAACTGTTTCTCAGATTGAATTTGCTCCGGGGTGTCTTTGTTTCTGATTGTTTTACGTGATCGCTTACGCCGGAGAATATCTGATGGTATTGCGAGAATTATACAAAGGAATATTGTGTGTGCCGCGTTTTCGAACGCGAAAGGAGTAAATTGAATATAAATCAGAACATATAATAAATACGCGTATTTTGTTCCCTGTACAAATGTAAATACGACGGGAGCGCTGCACGACACATAGGTAACTTTCACTCGGTAATTTCAAAACTCAATAAATACAATCATTTTTATTTTAAAAAGCAGAAGAGAGAGAAGTGTTTAATTAAATTTATCTCTCTGTTACATATATAATATAAAATTACATATCATTTTTTAAAAATAATTCTCAGTTTATCGGGCAGATTATTATCCATGCTGTAACAATAATACAAATGGTTTTTTTTTTTAATCAAAAAGTTCACTTTGCGGCGAATTTTCAACGCGACAATTATTTAATATAAATTTTGCTTTACTTTAAATACATTATTTGTTTTTTATAGTAAGTAATATTTGTCACAGCGAGCAGTGAAACCGAAAAAAACTCGAAAAATTTCTGTTCCGTTAGAAAAGTCAAATATTTTACACACCCGAAAAGGGGGTGTGTGAGATATCGATTAGTATACTTACTTTTGGCAGCGGTATCGGCCAAGATTTTCGAGGATTAAATGGTCCGTAGCCAGGACCGCATGGTAGGGATGATCTGCGTCCCGGCAATGCTTGTGTATTGGCAAACAAAGCGCAAATTGCAACCAACAGCATCACGGCATAGATTGCGAACTTCATGTTGACTATATGTGTGTTGTTCTGGCGAAGAAACGAGAGATACATACCAAAACAATAAGACCATTTCCGATTGCAAAGTTGTTTCAAAACACATTGATAGTACAAAAAAGATCGTTAAAAAAAAAAAAAAAAAAAACAAGCGCCTTTTCAGTGGAAAAACTATCGTTCAAAAAATAGAATTTTAAGTTTTTCCAATGGTAAAATTAAATTTCAAGGATTTTGTTCTCCTATACTCACTTTAAACCGTGGTAAACCGCGACTGTGGTGCGTACGTGTCTTATGTACCATTTATATATCATTGTGTAATGTGTGTGTGTGTGTGTAAAAGTATAGCTTCTTATTGCGACTGAAAAACACGAGATCGCGAGCTTCGGAGAAGTTGCAGGGAAAATCCCTCTGGCTTTGCCTTATCGTTCACATAACGACAAGACAGTGGCGCTCATTGATCTCGCGCACTTTCTTGATGATTTCATCCAACCCGGGTCTTACTCGCGTCGCACATCAGCTAGAAGCTTATGCACTTGTCACGCATCGGGGAATTCCGGGAGAATCCGCAAATTGGATTTCTTTTACTACTACGTCACGCATAATCCTCACCGACGGAAAGGATTTTCCGATCATATTCGAGAGGAACGTTCGTTTCGTTCATACAGATTTCAATATTACAGAGCGTATGTATTCGCGCGTACGACGCATAATTGTTCTTTTAGTTTTTGGTTGTAACCTTATTGCGTGGAATAAAACCGGAATGACTGAATATCCGAAAATGAAACTTTGTAGATTAAAATCGCTTGCAACAATCAAATATAGCAAGTTTTTCAAGAAAAAAGCAGACAGACATTTTCCTATTTCACATGTCAAAAAGTATAACGGAGCGTTTATTTCGCAACAAACCGTTTCCGCGAAGAGAGAAGAGAAAATTTCATATTACAAATTTAATTACTCTTTTAATCAGAGTTATCAGAAAGAAAAACCCTGTTTAAATCCCCCGCCCGAAACGTACAAAGAAATTCACGTGATGACACGTTCACGTTGAAGCGAATGAAATTAATTAATATTAATGTATAAATTATATTAATAATGCGGAGAGAGAGAGAGAGAGAAAAAACCCCCGAGCGCACGCTGATAAGAGTTACGTCAAAATGATCTTGAATTATTGAAGTGAACAAAACACATAAAGAGAGATTGCGGGAGAAAGAAAACAAGCGAACGCGCGCGTTGATAATTATTACGAAATTGCGAGATTGCAAAATGCAATATTGCTGGACGTGTGTATTTAAGAAAGAGATGGACAAACATGTATTATCGTAGTATTATTAAACAGACTTTTGATATCCTTTGTATCTCTGAACTCCGAACTCGAATTCGCGAGTTCAAAGATACAAAAGGGTATCAAGTCCCATTGATATGCGTGTGACATATTTGTGTGCGCTCTTTATTTTTCTAGACACACGTGTCACCCAATATTGCCACATTCTCGACAAGGCTGCAAATTACGTCGTTATGTTACGTCCCCGGTCGTAAACCATTGATAAATACTTATCGCCAGTTACAGCACGATACGGGAAGTAACTTTGAACCGCGTAAAGATTAGTTATTTGCAGAAGCACGTACGCGCTGCGAAAAATTATGAGAATACTTATCTCCTGAGAAATAGAGAGAAATATATATATATATATACATCTCTCTCTTTTACTCTCAGAGGGACTTTTCTTCGCGACCAAAGGGGTATCGACGCGACCGGCACGGAACAGAAAACTTTTACTCGGACATGAAATACAAGGGTGACTGGTTCGAAGTCGTTTACTCGTTGATACGGAAAAGCTGGTAGTATCTCGCGAAAGGGCCAAAGTATTTCTTGGAACCCGAGTCCTGAGGGTTTTCTGACAGGGTTTTCTATCGTCTCGCATTTTCCGGCGGAATTCGTTCAAGAATCGAATAAATGTAATTAGAAAAAGGGCGGATCACACAAAAATTTGTCAGACTCGTTCGACTGTGACGATAACACTAAAGTGCATGCGTTGCACAAAGAAAAATCTTTAAATAAGATTAAGAACAGATAAAAATATAATCGCTTGTAATATAATCGCTTGTTGTAATTGTGACACACAGCGCTTGCAACAATTGATTTATTTTTGTTAAATATAGAAAGAGCGGCAATTGGGGATGAGAATATATCGTCGAGATACGAATAATTCATATCCTTCCACTCTGCGATCCGATAATATTCTCTTTGTAGCTTCGTGGTGCAACAGAGATTTATGATGCGGTGCAAACTCAATTACCGTGTATAATGAAAGTTACACGCGGGAAACAACATTTGCATTTCGTTTATTATAGCTCGCTAGATGCGGTTGATAACGGCATATTACATGGGGTTTCTCCTTCTTATTGCGCGTATATAAGGTGTTTCCATTCTATATTTTCGTCACGATCGTACGACGGGAGTGGGGGGAGGGGAGGGGAAAGAGGAGGAGTCGTAAACGATAATATGTAATGCGCAAATATTCCTCTCTCCCTCCGTCAACATGCCACTTGACCATAAGGAGCGACATTTTATAGAGTCCCGTGAATCGGGGTTATTACCTATATAACCGAACACAGCTATCCCGCGGAAATATTTTATGGAGCAGTTCAGTGGTAATGAAGGTGTTTACATGCGGGCAAGAAGGCGTCTCGCCGGGCGGTAAGTAATTAGGACACCCCTCGTCTACCTCTACGCGCGATAGGCATTGCCAGAGAGAGAGGTAAATGCAACCGGGGCAGCCGTACACTCGGAGCTCGGGCGCGCACTCGTTATTTCGGAGGCTCCGGGCTCGCGTAATGTATTAGCGTAATTAGCGTTATCAGATTCACGGACAACGAGGAGTCACTCGTTTATAGGACCGTGAAAAAAACACGGTCAACTCTCTCTTCGCTCGAGTTCTAGACCGAAAGTCGAAGGTAGCGAAATTGCATTTGGCGGAATGTTTTCGCCCGATAGCGAGCAAAAGGAGGACACTGAAAAATAGTGCGATCGCGTTCTTTTTCTCCGAAAAAAAAATCAAAATAATAATAATAAAAGACCACGTTTCCGTGTTCTTGCAGAGAAAAAAGTTGAGGAAGAGTTGAGAAAGGTAAATTGTAAGACAAGTTCGACGTTAGGCAAGTCAATGCTTTTTGATCTTTGCTTACACAGTCAGATACTAGTAATAGAAGAAGGAATTCGAAGTAAGAAGCGTATAAATAATAGATACTTAGAATTTTATATCATATATAAAATGTAACATATAATAATATAATTTTTTCATGTTATATATATAAGCACTTATGTAATAATATTGTTTATTTTGTTATAATTCATACAGTGAAATCTTTTGAGTGAGTAATCAACAGATACATCATTTTTTTTATAAGACGTTAAATAAACGTCAGCAGAAACTGTTCAGAAAAAATGATATACATCTAAATTCAGTACATCCAGAAGGGATGTATGTAATCTTTGAAGTACATGTCTTTGGATTATATATCTTCTCTTATTTTAGAAGGATATGAGTTCCAGTAGGATGTCTAATTATTATTCCCTCTAGAAAGAGATACGAGTTCGTTCTATATATAAAATTTCTGGTTGTGGTATAACGTTTAATATCAGGAACTGGATTAGAAAAGACCGCCGTCTCTCTCTCTCTCTCTCTCTCTCTCTCTCTCTCTCTCTCTCTCTCTCTCTCTTTCTTTCTCTCTCTCTCTCTCTCTCTCTCACTGCCAAGAGCTGGGCAAAGATGAAAAAATGAAACTTTATATTATTTCTGAAAACAAAAAAAAAGCATAAATTTTTGAATTTAACATCAAGTTAGTACAGAGGTTTTTAAAATATAATTGGAAATGTTTTTAAGATAGTTTCTAATGTATTACAAAATTATATAGAATTAACATTGGGGTTTATGATAATGTTTCGAGAACATTCAACAAATTTGAATAAACTTTTCAGAAAGAGAATATGTGTAAATGCTAATATAATTTTACATTTTTGTTAATTTTAAATCCCAAAAGAAATAACGTCCAGCAATATAATATGTATGTAATGTTACAGTTACGCGATGGTTTTAATATATAAAATAAATAATGTAAAATAATAAATAATTAAAATATCCTCGAAATATATAAATGATTATTAGAACCATACGCAGAGTGTTTGTTGCGGATATATATGTATTTTATTATATTTCCATGTGAAAATTTTTACACGTGAGTTTTTTTAATTGAAATTTCAATTCGTAAATTCATATAGGATGCTATTTTTGCATCACGTATATGATAGATCCCGTATATCCCCCTAACTAATTTTATCATGTACGTGATGCAAATATAGCATCCTATGAATTTACGAATTGAAATCTCAATTCAAAAAACTCACGTGTAAAAATTTACACGTGAATATATATTATATATATATTATATATTATATATATATTATATAATATATATATATATATATATATATATTCCGCAACAAACATCCAGTATGACTCTAATGACCATTTATATATTTCGAGGATAGTTTGTAACTTAAAGAGTTACCTATATTTAAAGAGTTACCTAAAATTCATTATTATTAATATTAAATAATAAAAATATGTTATAGTATAAATATGTGAGGCGATTAATAAGTATCCAAAACGAGATCATACATTGCTGTTGTCGTTGAAAAGTGTCATTCTTCGGAAAAACAAATGTCAAACGCTGACACATTATTGCGCGTTAGTGTTTGTGACAGCTCGCCAAAGTAGGTATATAGATATCGTATTACGGCATCGACGACTTTTACCGTTGCTCGAACAGTTTTTTCCACCGAGCCATTTTTTTCAGATTCGAAAATAAATGGAAATCGCATGGCACCGATATCTGACGAATAAGACAGATGAGGCAGCAATTCAAAGTCCAACTCGTAAATTGTGGCCATTACTTACAGTTAAAGTGCGTTGTCAAAAATCACTAAAAGTGTCCACTATGGCGCTATCTATGTGTCGCTTCGGACACTTATCAATCGCTTCACATATAACGTTTAACTTACATTTTCCTTTTTTTGCTGCAATATTCGCAATTCTACTGTAAGTATATCTTGTCGCGGACTGTAGTAGAAGAATGACGTTATATACTTCTTCTCTATATTATCGCTTATATACATTATCTCTCGAACTTATACACACACACGTTTCGTTATTTATACAAACTCTTTCCAGACTTTAACTTCAAACGATCGTCGTCATCGTTATTTGCGTTTTAATATGTCATCGAACCGATGTGTGCGTTTAACACGATAAATTATAATCTTTCATTTTCCGCACATATTTCACGTAATTTTTTCAACGCCATTATGTGGACGCTTTGAGATACGAGTTCAAGGAAACCAGAATTACTGAAACATAAAAAGGATGTGGGAGAGAGAACCGCCAATTAAATATTTACTCTTTCGACTTCTTATCCTCCGTCATTGTGTATTTCCGCGAAAAGCAAATAATGTCAGGTGAGCGCGCATAAGAGGAGATGTGCTTCTCTTATGATTCTGCGCATGAATCTTTTTGCTGCATCATCATTTCTTTCTTTATTACTTTGTTACTTTGAGTTTCTCTCTCTCTCTTTTTTTCTCTCTCTTTCTCTGTTTGAAATTATATATTTTGGAGTTCTACTTTTTTTTTATTCGCTTATGTTAGAACCTATTTATTCTCTTATTATAAACGTATATGAAAATTCTTACGCAAACTCGAGCACAAGAACACGAACCATCGAAAATGTAGAAATATTTTCAGTATTCGAAATTACTGCGCGCGGACTAAACGAACGTGGTGGTGCGCGCACGATATCGGCACGAAAATTCGTATGGAAACTCCTGGCTCTTTTATTTGATTCTTTTTCAGCAATCGGCAGATCGAACCGACTCTCTGAGAGTCTGTGCAGCGCCTTACCGCTACTTCCCATAACCACCCACGTTCCTGCAATCCCCTTCCTCCCTTCCCGTCCCTTTCCACCTGCACGATTGAACGTGAGCCCAACATCAGAATAAAACTACGACGAATTCTCCATCACGTTAACGTTCCTCCTCCATCTTCTATCGCAGAGACCATTTATTTCGATCGTAACCAATGTCGTTTCGCAGTTCACTTCAAAGTGGAAAACGGGCTGCCTCTATCGCCGTGGTAAAACGCGACGTCATTGATGTTACAAGATGATTCATACTAAATCGGCGGCTCATTTATTTGCTCGCGGAAAACATTTACAGAAAAGGAGTGACACACATATCACATCAGAAACAAAGAAATACGCACAACGCCAGAGAGAGAGAAAAAGAGAGAGAAGGAGAGTGTAATAAATATATGGTATATACTCTTGTATTAATGCAACAACACGAACACTCTTCTTAATCAAATAATTCGAAGCTGTTGACGTTCCTCGGAAACATCGCTTCGAAAACAAATAAAAAAAAAAAAAAGCTCTCACGATCGAATTCCATCGGGATTGATAAACGTTTATTGACGTATCACACGGAAAGCACACGGTTTTCTCTCCGAGTGTCAGGGTTTCCTGCTGGGAAATGAAAGGTTCATATTTTATAATGGCAGCAGTGCGCTACTGAAGGTGATGCTACTGTACGAAAATATGAAATAAAATGCATTGGAATAAGCATAGAAATGGGACGCGGAAATCTCGGGGAAATATACGGGACACGCGGCCTGCTGTTGAAAGCAACTGCGATACCATTGAGAACTCGGTAGTCCGTCAGAGCTTACAAAAATCACCGTCCGTAGTAAATATTCATACCGCACAAGGCGTCGCTTTGACTCACTCTATATGACGAGGCATTTACCCAGTTTTGAAAGTGAGTCGCTTTATCTTGGGAGCGTATTTTCATGACGGAATCTAAGCGTTCCGGATTTACGAGCGAATATAGAACTTGGCGCTTGCTGGACACGATCTCTCTCTCTCTCTCTCTCTCTTTCTCACACACAAACTTCGGGATAATATTCACATATCAATAACTACTACTCGTTTAGCTTAATGAATAATTAAAATACATGGAAGTAGAGCGCGCAAAAATACGATATTCAAGATAATGATAGAGCTTTTATTGCTCTTATTTTACCTTATTATCAAAAAACAAATTTAACGCCGACCATTAACGATTATTCGTGATAATGCGCCAAATCTGCTGCTTCTTGAATAAACATACGTGTTTATGTAATGTATATATGCGTGCGAATTTATTAACACACATATCCGCGGAAAAATGTGACGCTCATTACGATGCAGTTTATGGCGATCGCGCCGCGCGCGTTCACCGCGTTTTCTCCGCACCGAGTATCACAACGCGCACTTCTCATTAACTCTTCGAAATTCTCACAGTCTCTCTTAGTTGGGGGAAGAATGTTGCAAAATAAAATAAACACAAACGGTAGAAGTAAAAATGTTTATATTTGAAAATCAGTAAGTTATAATGTGAGGAGTTTACACACATAACGTTGCGATCAAATAAGTCGCGAAAAAAATGTCACACGTGAGTATACTCATCGTGCATGAGTTGGCAAGTCTTCGTTAGAGACAACAAGCCGTAACAGTTTATGGGTCTTGGTCTCCGAGACGGCATTCTCGCTTTCTTTACTTTCCACAGCAGTTTTACCGGCACCACGCACGTTGCAGTTGTCAATATTGACAACAATATGATTACAAACAGGCTCAATTTCATGTCACATGTAACTCTCTGGAAAATTATTATTGAAATAAATACACGTTATTAAATAATATATAATTTATATGTATTATTAAATATTTTGATGTATATTAATATGTAAGTACACATATTATTAAAACAAGTATTAAAATATTTGATTTATAGTAATTATTAATTTAATTGCATTCTAATATTAACTGCGTAACCGTGTGTATATATTCTCTCTGGAAAAAAAAGAATTTTAATTTCCTCTCGTTATTTTAAGTCTGTTAAACATTTATTTTCAACGATATCGAAAATATCGTTTGTTCATTAATGTAACAACCATCGTGCAGAGAGAATTGCGATGAAAATTGCGTTGCACAGAATCGTGAATGACATTTAACTTACAGGTATCCACGTCCAATTAAATGTCACCGCGTTGCCACGCTGTGTCGTCCAGAAGCAAATCTTACGAATCTTACGTGTTTAATTAGAACTTTAAGATAATATTGTTTTAGGACTTGGGGAGAATTGTGTGTGTGATGATGATGTTTCACGAGAGTGGTCAAAGCTCGACTGGACCAACACTTGACAGCTTCCCAAGCCTATCCCTTTCAGTCTTGTTATTCTCTCACCCTAGTATTAGCGCACATTACGTCGCCATAATAGATGAATGTTTATTTCGCATAAACGTTCTCTCTCTCCCTTTTCCTCCTCCCTCTCTCTTTATCGGACATTTTACTCTATGAGTGAATGAGAAGCAATGAATAAGAATGAGAATGAATGGGCAAGCACGTTACTCGACAAGCGAATATGCTTTTGACCACTTTGACTTTCGTGGGCGAACAAATTGCGCTGACCACATTGACAATCCCTCCCTGGTAATAATTGATTCATTAAAATTCATATACAGTAGAATTCCAGTAATTTCGAGCACATGGGACTGATTCTTCCTAGAATTCGAAATTATTTTCTTCTCTCCTCTTTCATTTTTTCCCCTTTCCCAGCGACCAACTGGTAGCAAGAGACAAAAGATACAGTCATCGTGTTTCTCTCTTTGTTATCTGCGCATTCTACGAGTTGCGCAGTCACTCAAGAATATCGGGGAATCATGAATAGTGGGGAAAACTATTGGTCCGCCTATCAAGGAGAAGTCGAAATTGTAGTGTTCGAAATTACTGGAGTTCTACTGTAAAAAAAAAAAAAAAAAAAAAAGAGAGACCAGCAAATCACGATCGCTAAGACAGATGTGTTAATTTTTTGTGCGACTATATACATATTATGATGTAAATTATTCAATATCGCTTGTATTGATCTATCGCGTTAATCGGCATATAATCCACTCGTCACGGAGGAGAAATCACGAACACGCATAATATTATTCGTCAATATTGAGCGTCGTGCAGTTGCGGCGACATGTGACACAACAGTCAAATAGCGACGACGATAATAGCGCTCTGTGCGATCCCATTGTCGGGATTTATTATCGCGGATTTAAACGCGGCTGCGGAAGCTTAGGCACTACGGCCTCGTTGTGTTGTCCGTGTTTTCGCCGGTGCTTCGCCGCGCGTAAGCCGGAATTACATAGAAAACATATTTCGATCGGTGTAAACTTCCTCTCGTGGAGTAAATGATTAAAAAAAAAAAAAAAAAAAAAACCGCGAGGAGATTTTTGCGATCAATACAATCTTTGGGCGTATTTGCAGAATTTTCTCGCAAGGTGTTCGCGACGTTTGCCTGAGTTTCTCTCGGGACAGAGGCGCGCTCGCGTTTCGGTACCTATCTACGGAAAAACGTGACGAGTATCATCGACTTTGGAAAACACTTTCGTCCAGGCGCACTGCAGTTTCCCAGCGCGACAGCTTTCTAGGAGAAGCGGTAGCGCGACCCTACGTTACGTCAAGAACGTCGCATTCGGCGCGCGGAAACGTCTCTCCACCCGGCCGATAGGAATCGACGGGCAAGAAAGAGGTGGGGCGACGAAGAACGTAGGAAATGCGGAAGGGAGAAGGGGATCGGGAATACGGTCGTGAGAAAGACAGGGAGGTGAAACGACGACGGTACCCGGCTATACGTGGCCTGAAACTGGCAGGCGAAAGGGGGTGAGAGCAGCTCTCCCTCGGGAGCTTGCTCGGCGCTCTCGCGCGTTACGGCGCACACCGTCTCCACGGCGCGATCTATCGCCCCATTGACCGCCACTCCATTATCAGGATAGTAATGCCGTAACCCCGTATCCGTAACCCTGCCCTACTCGTGTCGCTCCCGCGCCTCACCCCTATCCAGAAATCCACCGCGAGCTTGGCCTTTTGTTGGTTTATCGGGACAACCTTACGTTACAACCGTAAAGAGATTGCGAGAATAATCGCGGAGTCGTGTGTGCGCGCGCGACGCTGATCATTTCCCGCGATATCCGCATCGGATTATCGATCTTCGTGCGGAAAAATATTCTCGAAGAATTTCTCTTTTCCTCATGTTTTATAGTTCGATGTTTTTTTTTCTTTTTTTTTGTTTTTTTTTTTTGTTTACGGAAGAATGCACTTTTACGGAAACTGTACGGATAAATCTCTTCGTGAATCAAACACACTAAATACATTGAATGTTCCCACGTTTGAATTGTAAAAGCAAATATGCTGTACCGTACTTCATGAATTGTTGATCGAAGTACGTGCGTGGCCACGCTTGCATCGCGGTCGCGATAAATATTTAGCAAATTTACTGCCGGCGATGCGATATTGGTTTTTTCGCCTTTCGCGTTTCGCGACTGCCGTTTTGGTCTTCGTTTGGAAAAGACTAATCACGATACCGTGAAAAGAACTTGTGTACAAATAATTGAATTAATAAACTCCGAATCAAGTTGAAAACAATTAGTGGTACATATACATATATATATATATATATATATGTACACACATATATGTATTTACAAAGTAAAAGGATATTAAGATATAGATAATAAGTAATATGACTAGGAAAAGGGGGAAAAAGGAATCGTTTTTCCTTGATGACTTGGCAGGTAATAAATCAGAAGTTGTTCACGAGCGAATCTTGCAGCTCTCGGTCATCCGAATTAATTACAGGCCACTTCTGACCTAACGGCAAACTAGACAGCGGTGTGTGTAACTGTAATTAAATTATATATGACTACCTGCTCCAGCAGTTGCGCGAAGTTAGCAGAAACGGTTTCTACCAACCGGAAAGAAAATCTGGGAAGTTCAAGTTATAAAACGTAAAAACTCTTAATTATATTTCAAGTTTTTCAAAACAATATTAAAAATAGATATATCTGTCAAATTATTTTTTCGGTTGTTGAGATATATCGTCACTGAAATTCGACGAAAAATCTGTTTTTATTTATTTTTTTTTTTTATTTTCCCAACTTCTTTCTCGAATAAAAAAAAAAAAAAAAAAGAAACGTATAGCATGTAGCACTTTGTCCCGTTCAATCTGCTAAAAAGTCGCGCAATCCTTCTTCCGAAAAATACTATTTTCCACGAATAAAGGAAATCACTTCGATCGGGTCGTAGCGCAGCATCGCCCCGACGATCTTGGCCGCTGCACACACAATTTTGCAAGACGCCCGTGCAAATCGCAAGAGCCGCGCGCGAAACTCGCGTTGGAATATGTCCTGGCGTTCCACACGGACAGTCCGATCCGGCACCCCGATCACGTAGCTCAGGAAATCTCAACAGATAGACGCAGAAGCCGGAGCATGGACTCGGCCCCCAAGCAGCTCAAATGGGAATACACCTTCGTTCCGAGTGCCGGAAGACGTTCGACAGTTCGACCCTATCGCGAATGAAGGACCGTGTCAGCGACTTTCGGGATAAGAAAGCCCCGACCGCTCGGGGGCGTTCCAATTTAAGCGATATCGTTCGATAAGAACTCGTGTGAATAAACAACGCAAGCAAATTATTTTCTATTTTTTTTCCCCCCGAGAGCGAGTTTTTACATCGCATTTGTATTTATTCTCGCAACAATTTTAATTATTGTTAACGGTTAGCGGTTCCAATTGAAAATAATGCAAAAACAATTGCTTTAGTAAACTGCTAACGATCATTTCCAATACTCCCTCTTTCCGCGTACACACATACAGTTAATTACTGTTATTTATAATTTGATAGAATTTCAGAAAGATTTATTGTTTAATTTATTCTTTTTTTTTTTATTTTTATCAGTCACTGTTTCTCGATTTTAATTGTTATATCGACGTCGCTCAACTGATAAATAACGTTTTTGCGCTCAGAAGTCGTCGATATATATTTGGTCTGCGTTCTTGTCGCGCTGAATATCGTACATATTCGATCAATGCTCTCGTGTGAATACGTTGAACGCGTCCTTGAAGCAAATTAAACCCAAAGGAAACCGTATAAAGACGCGATGACGATGATAATGATGAGATGACAAAGAAACACTTCCTGCCACTAAGCGCACTGATTGTGCGAAATTGCCATTGCGCGTGCGATTTTTATTAGACGTATATCATGAGCGCTTTATTTTAACGAATCGCGCAAGAACGTCCCGCTCTTGCATGTCCAGGTTTATACGATCACAATTGATTCCCCGTTTCGTTCCTTCCGCTCTCGTGCGACCGGAATACGCCGGTAAGACATTACTCAAAGCGTGAACGTGAGGGAGATACAGCTGCGGCAACCCGTCGGCGATTTATAGCGGGACAAATACAGATGGGGAACTTCTCGAGGCGTAAGACGTCGGAAAAATGCTTTCGGCTTTCGACAGGCTCGCTCTCTCTCTTTCCTTACTCGTGCCTCGTCCGTTCCTCATGTAAAGTAATAATGGGAAATCGAGCGAGAATACGTCCGTACGATTTCTCACGCAACTCGTCTGATACTGTCGTGCCGCAGAATCCCCCGAACAAGTTGCCATAAAAATGCCACGATGAAAGCAAGAAGAAAAGCATTTTGTTTGCGCGGCTTTACGCCGTGTATTGTGCGAGAGACATTTTCATGTCAGATTCTGAAGAGAGAAGAGAGAGAGAGAACAGAAAAACAATTCGGTCTTGATTCCGTGTGCTGTGTGCGTATTAAGAATTAACTGTTTTATGATGGATTTTTTGTGCCGGATGAGAAAAAGATACAGGAGCAATCCGCTACAGCTTTTTCCTTTAACGCGAACTTGTACGGGGAAAGGTTTGCGTACAGCCAAGATAAAAAAAAGAAATGACAAGAGGAGATGGAAGGGAAGCCAACGATATCAAAAGAGTTTATAATTGAGTTATAAGTACTTTTTAAAAACGGAACACACACTTTCGGCTGCAGAAAAGCCGTATCGGCGAAAAATGCGCACAGAGAGAAGCGCTACCTCGAATATCGGCAAGTATTTCACGCGACGTTAAACAAAAGAATAATTTAATTTAAAAAAAAATATGGCCAAAATGTATAATAATAAAAGCAATATTTTTTACTAGAAAAATTTTTACAAAAAAACATTTTTTGACTGCACTACCAACTAACGCGAACAAGTGAATGTAACCAAAAAAAAATATTATATCAGTAAATTGCAATAACTTTAATAGAGATAGAACAAAGAGACAATTTTGGGTGCTGATAAAATTAATTCAAGTTCGGT